TGCCCGCCCGTCCAGGTTGAGGTGCTCCAGGGTTTCATGGGATGCCGTGTCGCGTCGTTTCGTTTGTTCTCGCGGACGACGCTGCCACCAAACAAACGAAAAAGAAAGGCCAGAAAAACCAAACACATTTGGCGTCCGACGCTTTTCTCTTAATTTCTTGGTTGTAGGGTGACTTCGGACTTCTTTGTATCGGCGACTTTCTTGCGTTTGTTGACACGCAATGAGCCCTTACTCTTAAACAATACCTTATGAAAATAACTTTTGCCTGAAAAGGCAACAGAAATGGTCTAAACCTTATCGCTCGCTAACACCGGAAACTTAAGTCGACTTGAGTACATAGGTGTGTGAACATGGAGGCAAAAGTGTGTGAAATTCAATGGGAAGTTCACACCTTTACGAATAGGCAATGCACACCTACAGCAGGTGTGCAACATTCACACACTTGTGTTTCCAGTGTAGTTGAGAATGGGCGTCGCGCACCAGAGGGTGTATGATGCCGGTTGACACGACGCTGGCAGGTGCTTCGCATTCCTACGACTCGTCTCACTGATGCTGCTTGAGCGATGCTCAATGATCCTCTGCTCCTTAGGATAGAAAGTAGAAAGGGTTGTCGTCGGGAGCACGGGCAGCAAATGCGCAGTGTCCTCTATCCATCGCTCCGTGCCTTGACGCCTGTGAAATGTTGTGTCGCACACTCTAAATGTCTATAAAGACAATTATTGTAACTAGTAACTACAAGCACCGGACTTCTGTAAACCAAAATGATGGATTCAAATGCATTCTCTGCTAGCAATACAGATTTAGTAACTATTAGTTACAATTTAGTATCTGGACTCACTGTTGAGTAAGCTAGATTTTCGGAACCAGTACAGTGATTATCTTTATTCAAAGTGCATGTAATGCTGCGATGGGAGGAGGAAAGAAAAGCAATCGACATCGTGCATGTATTATTTTTTAGCCGTGTAGTGACGGTGACAGAGGCGATGGTATGAATATGTTACAGTCAATAAACTAATAGCTGCACGGGGTGGACGGGGGATGCGCCGGGGCAGCGGCTGGGAGTGCCCGGGGGGAGTGCCCAAGCCCAATCCATCATCAGGGTCCGTAGTGACACAATGCTGGCCGTTTCACATCGCGCCGTTGTTGTCGTCCCGGCCGCTTGTAAAACGGTTGTATTAACATGATGCGCGCACGCGTCGCGTCATATCGGCGTGCGCGACGACTCTTTATCCGCGCGAGAGAGACGCTCATCATGCAAGTGAGTCGCGTGTGTCCGCCGGGTCGAGTGATCGATCGAGCTCGGTCAGTATGCGACATGTCTACGCGTACGGTGTAAAAAACGTACCCCCCTCCTCTCCTCTCTGTGCAGCGCTCTCTCTGTGCTGCCTGCAGTGGACCGAGTGTATTTATCATCCCTTTCTCCTAAGTGAATCGCCTGTCCTGATGGGCCGGGCTCTCGGCCGGGGCCGCGTGGGCGGAAGAGAAGGGTTAATGGCGGCCTAATCTTCATATCGCCAAGACACATAAAGGGGGGCAGGAAGCCGTCCCGGCGGGATGGTCCAGCGGCAGCAGCATCTCCGAGCCCAGTATCTATTTCATCTTCGGATTGCTTTTGTCTCTGGACCGCCTTTGTCTCCCAGGGAGGATCTTCTCTTCGGGCGGCAGGTGTTTCCCAGGCCACGGCTGAGCGAACCCTCTATGAGTTGAGGCCTAACATACACGCACCACTTTCGACTTGAAGGAGGAGAAGGGGGTTAAAGGCCTATCTCGGCGAGTATTTAAAATAGTGACCGCAAATGAGTGGGATCAGAAAATATTCGAGTGTGCGTTCACATTTTTTTGGCACGGTGCGCGCTTCTCTGAAAAATAAAACCCCGTCAAGACGTCTCTTTTTCGCGCGAGAGCCTTGCTTGCCGGGCTTTTTGATGGACTGACGTGGAGTCGGCGACGCCCTGGGCACGCCCCTGATCCTCGCTGTCAGACCAGCAGCCGAGGGTGAAAGTGATTACGCGCTACGAGGACTGGCTGGGCCTCGAGATTTAGGGGGAAGGGAGGAGGGGGGCAGCCATGACCCTCCTGGGGGAGCAAGACGTTATAGACTACACCGGGGAGCTTCCGGAAAAGACAATGCGTTATTGCGAGCGCGGTAGTCCTATGGTCCCCTCCCCGAACCCCTCCTCCACCACGCCCACCCTTCTCGCTCCCTCTCTCGCTCGCTCGCTCTCCTTCCCACAAGAGCACGCGACTTGCCATGCAAGCTGCGACAACTTTACATCTGCTTGCACTTTCTTCGCTCTGCCTGGCTGCCCGTTGGGTGGGCGGGCGTGGCTGGCGGCAGCGGCTGCCCCATCGGTGTGCGACGTGTGCGTTTGCCGCCCAAGCTGCACTCCTTGAGAAAAAGGAAAAACATATAATACACCAACGAATCGGACCCATTGAGTTTATTTCTGTTTTTTTAGCAGGATGATACGCAGTATCAGCCTGTACTCTCGTACTCGTCACTGTGAAAAATTGTCGAACCGGGTACCGGAAAATTTTCCATGGAAGAAGTCGTACAAGTACAATCTAACATTGTACAATTTACTAGCCCTATGTATCGACTTGGAATCGAATATCGAGCGACAGCGGGAGGTTGTACATGTACGACTCGTATTGTAAATGGCAAATTACAAAATATATCGTACATGTACAAATACATTTCTCACAGCGGTAAAGTTATAAGTTTGGCAGTTAAAGCGTTAAGGTAAAAGTTCGCTTTAAAGGTGGCATGAAGTTGTCGCTGCAATTATTTCGCAACTTAATACTTTTACAAGGTACAGAGTGGGGGTAGTCTTAGAGGAAAGGGAAGAAGTGGGGTAGACAGTACCGCAATATCAATGCATAGTTTGTTTGAGCCATATTTAAACCCCGCTCGAGAGTTGCCAGGTATTAAGTGATATTACAATGTCTAGAGCAATAAGATAGCTGGAAACATTGCAGTGCTAGTCGACTTTAGGAATAACTCCAACTTCTGCTACCCCCCATCCCAAAAGGTTTTCATCTTTGCCAATCTTGAGGTTGTACCTATAGTGTCCATAAGGCATTATTGGAAAATTTGGAAAAATCCATTGGACCGGAGTGTTATTGACCACGAAAACTGCCTGAAAATATAGGTCACAGAAATTTTACATTTGTAATCATAACATAATTTTGTTTATTTAAATCCTTAAAAGAAAACCAAAATTGACTCCTGCTTGCACTTACAGGTTTAATTGAGCACACGCTTTTAACGTCTGGGCTACCGAACAAAACCCTGTAAACGTCAGGTATATTGTCTCTAACAACCTGGCATGAATTTTTCTTGAAAAAGAAGATGAAGGAGTTTTCTTTCCATTGGTTGTTTGACCGTACATCCATTGTTATTTTCATCTGTCGTGATGAAGACACACATAAAGTCATATTTGTAACTACCTTTTAACAGCGCCTGTCAGATATATCAATCGCACTGGGAAAACTACGGTGTTAAGTCGCACCTCTGAAAGTGGTGCACTAATAGTGCCTTTACTATGGCAACAAACTCTTTAACCCCTTTTCAATGGTACGACTAAGCACATTCGTTACTTCAGTACAGATTCAAAAGATTATCTCTAACTGCAATATCTTACCCAAACGTTGTTGTCAAAAGGCTCTTTTGTACCCGTCACGTTACCGGTCAATAGTTGTAATTCCTTTGGTCTATGTGGGTTGAAGTGACTAACACGCAACTGCCATCTCCACGCCAGTTGGCGATCTGGTGGTTCACAATTAGAAAAGCGTTCGACGTAACCTATGTAAGGGCCCTATAGGAAAAAGAGAGATGCGAAACATCAACGTGACCCAGAGAGCACCTAAAACCGACATTGCCACACAGTTAATCAAACACCGTGACTCCACATTTAAACGACTGTGACTTGTGTCACATTGATTCTAAGCAATGTGACGCAATTCACATTGAATTCAATGTAACGTCACAGTACTTATGAACAACGGTGCAAGATGATGCTTGCAATGGCAATGCAGAATGGCTGAGTACAGTTACTTTACATTTTAAAACTTTTGGTATTGCTGTAGACTTAACGCACCACGAGGGTGTTGATAGCCTTGCCGTCGATGTGCTTCTGGCACGTGAGTGCAAGGGCGACGAGTATGCAGGGGCGTAGTAAGGACCGGCCGACAGGGGGGCGTCGTAGACCAAGTTGCCTAAATAGAAGGAGGTTCAATAGTTCAAATTGTCTACCTTTCAGATGGCTATCTAGGGCCGACGGGGAGGGGGGGGGGGGGGGGGAGGCGTTCACAGAAATACGTACGTGTATTTTAAAAAGTTCGTAAAATTGAGTGTCCATGGTTGCTTGGATCGTCCTTGCTGCCACATTGTGCTGTGCAGCCAGCACCAGCGACACTGCTTGCACACACGGCATTGGTATCTAGGTATCTGGCTTCCCAAACGTTCTGTGTAAAATACATAACAATGGTGTCCGACTCTATTTCCTGTGTCGTGCTACTGTATGAAAAACATTAAACGCACTCGACCGGACGACAGCGAAAAAACGAACCTCCCCCCCCGTCGGCCCTAGATAGCCATCTGTAAGGAAAACTGTTTGATTTAAGCGTCGAAGCGAGTGTAGGTCTAATTCAACCAAATTAGGGGCTGGTACCGAAATAGGTCTAGTTACTCTTAATATCTGCTTAACACGTTCCCTGCGGCAAAATTTTAGTGCCAATGATTTAACATGGGAGCGTGACCACATAGTGGTCACGCCGCAGGGAACGTGTTAAGTGATAAAAAGCTAGTTGATACCATAAAGTTACTTATATGTTCTTTGTGTTTAGGCAGAGGGTATTTAAGGGATTATCTGCTAAAAATACACCCATATGTGGTGACGATCCTGTGGGGGCGCGACGCGTGCGTAACGGTCGCGGGGTAGGGGTGGGGCGGGTACTGTGCCTCCGGGCGTTGCGGCGCGAGTCTCTCGCGGAAGTGAAAGGTGTGATCTTTCGTTGGCTCCGGCGTGACTTACGATTACCGATCATCAGCTTTCATTTAGTTCGTATTTTGCAGTAAATTTCTCTCTGGCCCCCTCCTCTTTACTCCTACAAATCCTTTAAAAAGTCCTCCTTTCGGCACCAAAAAAGTGCACCATGACGTGGACGTCAGCGCATCATCGAGGGAGAGCGCGCGTCGCGTGAGCCTGTCGTGTTCGCGGTAACAGGATGTGAGTCAGGCGCCTCCCGGTCTCTATCTCTTCCCGTACGCGACCGGGCGCGCGGACCCGCCGCCGAGCACGGAGCGGCGGAGCGGGGCAGCGCTCCGAGGACCGCGATTGTGTCGCCGATGATCAGGGCGAGAGGAGGCAGAGAAGCTGTATCAATACCCGGCCATACAAGGGAAGTGTGAGCCCTTGTTTCGTCCGGGTGGTGACCCCGTTTCCCGTCCGTGAGTCACGGCGCGCGCGCTGGGCTGGGCCGCGGGGGCGGGGCGGAGCGGCGCGGCCACAGATAAGCGGTAATGAGATAGCAAGGTGCGTCGCTTATCGGGCCGCGGCCGGCCAGTCCTCGCCCGCGCGTCGCCCCCCGAGCACCTGTTCGGCACCTGCCCGTCGACGACCCCGCCCGCGACCCGCGACCCACGCCATGGCGCCCAAGGCCGTGTTCGCGGCCCGCCGCGACGAGGAGCGCATCGACCGCATCATCAGCTGCATCAAGTACACGCTGTTCTGCATCAACATCGTCGGCTTCATGGTGGGCGCGGCCCTGTTCGCCATGTGCATCTGGATGCGCAAGGACCCCGGCATGGAGGACTGGGTGACCCGCCTCGACCTCTGGGAGTTCTACTCGGGCATGTACGTGCTGCTGACGGCCTCCATCCTGGTGCTGCTCACCACCTTCGTGGGCTGCTGCTCGGCGCTGACGGAGAACCGTCAGGCGCTGCTGCTGTTCGCCGCCGCGCAGGGCTTGTGCTTCCTCATGGGCCTGGCCGGCACGGCCGTGCTGCTCGACTACTCGACGTACAACTCGCACATCCAGCCCATCCTGCGCCGCGTCTTCCGCCAGCTCATCATGAACTCGCAGTACGAGGACGTGAGCTACGTGCTCAACCAGGTGCAGGAGTCGGTGTCGTGCTGCGGCGCCGACGGCCCCGGCGACTACCTGCAGCTGCGCAAGCCGCTGCCGTCCGAGTGCCGCGACACGGTCACGGGCAACGCCTTCTTCTACGGCTGCGTCGAGGAGCTGACGTGGTTCCTGGAGGAGCGCGCCGCCTGGGTGGCCGGCATCGCCATGACGCTGTGCTTCTCGCACGTCGTCAACGCCGTGCTCGCGCTCCTGCTCGTCAAGGCCCTGCGGCAGGAAGAGAAGCGCGGTTGATGCGCTCGTCTGCGAAGAGAGAAAATTTGAATGATGTACTGCACCCATTTTGTTCAGTGAATGGAAAAGAATGTTGTTTCTTTTTCCTTGGTATTTTTTGGTGCGGTGCGGCAGTGCCGGTCTCGGCCGCGGCGCGAGTTGTGAAACTGATAGCGGGAGCGTTATCTCTCTGCCGCACAGGTGAAGTGTTCCACTACGCGCCGCCACGACACAAGGTGCAGCGCCCCCCCCCCCTCTCCCCTCCCGCCTCTGCATCGACAGGCGGCTCCCCGGTGTACAGCCTCGTACACTTCTCGGTGTAAATAAGTTCTTCTTGGACTATGAAAGATCAGCAAATTTGTCACCACCGCGAATGCCGATTGTCGAATGTGCATAAAAATGACATGTCAATGTATTTTTATATTTTTAACTTATGACTTGTTATTTTTCTATTGATTTCCATGGGTCCTTCCAGTGAGTTTTCGTTCAGTTACCGTCCTTCGCTAGGTATATATACACGTATCACGTCCTAAGAATCTGGGTGTGTTCATTGTTATCTCTCTCTCTTGCTCTGCCAAGATAAGGGGATAGGCTTTCGCTTGTGACTGGGAGAGGGAAGGTTCGCTGGCTGGGCGTGGCAGGTCCGTCCAAAAACTATATGACAGACATCATTTTATGCAAATAATGGACCCCGATGTGACTGCGGAAGGTCGATCATTTCTAATCGAAACGTAACAAGTTGAATTATTAATCAGGCCAACGTCTCGCGCCGAGCCGCCTGCTCCTCAGAACAATATTGATTTATTTCCAATCATGCATATTTATTCATAACTGACGCACCCCTTGTGTTTCACCCATTTTTTCCGATTGGGCGTGCCCGATGGCTGATTATTTATCGATCCGTTTGATGAACTGCCATAGCGCGCCTGTTGTGACAAAGCGCCCCGAATGCAAATGTGCTTCGCGCTCTCCCTCGCTGGCGCGCCTTTCCTTTTCCCAGGTGACAAAGTCGTTCAAGTCTCCTTCTCTGTACAGTTGGACTCCTATATTTGTACCGTAAGATGAAAAGTAGTTCAAGTTTAAGTTATTTTGTGTAGCGTAGAAAGTAATGAAACCATATTTCTTTTTGTTTACACTTGTTAAAATAGTTTACTTTAAAAAAATAAAAATGAATGAATAAATAAATAAAAAAATCAACAAACAAAACTATCTCAATTTGGTGTGTCTGCGTGTTGATTACTCTCGTACTTTTTACTTCGGTGTTGACCAGGTCGCGTGGTTGGTATACATAGTATCGTGCAGCTCTCGCTAGTTCTGGAAACGTTTCGGCCCTGACCCACTCATTTTGGAGACGTAAACACCGACCAGCTGGAGAAACGACCTTTTTCAAACCTGGAAGTGTAGATATGTGTATATTGTCAACCTCTTATGTGTGAGAGCTCCCTCGACCTTTGCACCTTGCAGCAAGGCGGTACTGCAAAGATCACCTTCGGAAAGGGTAGTCCGAGCGTTTGGCTGGAGCGATGACCTCCGAGAGACGCGTCGGCAGGACATGTTGCCACCACCGGTGGAGCGCCGCCCCCGCTAGGCCCGGCCACGCCCGCCTTGGGGTCGTTTGCGTACTTTACGAGCTCACATGCCACCTCGGACGGCGCGCCCGCCCCAGTGAGCTACCGGAGGAGGAGGTTAGTTTACCGCAAAAGTTTGAAATTTTGGGTCGCCTGGTCATAAAGTGGGCCGGGGGTTGTCTGTGTCTCGTTTCTCGGAAAGGCCGCCACTGGGCCGGGGCGCATGGCATGGGGGGATGGCGTCAGGGAATGGCTTCATCATGGCACGCCCTGCCTGCCACGTAACTGGTGGGGCCTGGCCGCCGAGTTACGGGGCTGCTGCCGGGAGGCAGACAGTCGGCCTGTCATTCTGGGAAAACGGTGGCGAATGATGTGAAGCCGTTCGAGCCCGGTGAGCGGGGCGGGAGCTGTTTTAACGCCTTTCAGATGTGCGGCCCGACCCGGCGCTCCGGCAGCTCCAGAGCCTCTCCTGATGAGGTCAGAGAGGAAGCCCGGGTGCCAAACATCTCGCCGACATAGGCGGGCGCGGTGGCGGCGGCGACAGAGCGGAGCAGGGCGTCCGTTTTTGGAGGACTTCCCATACCACCAACACAAGAGTGTACATGGAAAATAAAACACGGGCCATCTCGTCCCTTTCTGTGAAATGTGAAAATATGAATGAAATGTATATACATATCTCGCGAGAAAAGTCTCACGATACGGGACCAATCACAACACCTCGAACCCATAGATTTCATGAATATTATTAAGGCGCGAGCTGCGCCGGCGGTCTCAGCAGTGTTTGCGCGCCTCCGTCAAAACACCCTCCACCGCCTTCATTATTACCGATCAATGGCGATCATCTCAATGGAGGAGCCGAGCCGATCGAGGAGCGTTAGGAGGCGGTGCCCTGGCGGTGCCGTTGGGGGAAGCAAGGTGTCCCTGCGGGGCGCTGGCGGGGCGGGGCGGGGGGCCCACTTTCAATCATTCATGTAATATTTCCTCCTGTGTCGCGCGGCCCTCCTCTAGTCAATCGTCTTCGTTCTCACGGATCTGACGAAGCGCGGAGCTGCTGCCTTCCAACGTGATGTTTTGCAAAATTACGAAAAGAAATATTTGAAGAAAAAACGAAACAGGTCCTCGTGTTTACTTTACTCTTGCTGGGCCAGCAACAACAGCAACAACAACTACAACACTTAAATGCAGTATTTGTTTTAGACGTCATGGCTATAAGAGTAAAACACGATAAAACGGCTCGGCAAATGTAAATCAACTCGCGAAACGCGAAACTCTAGTGAAAATGTGTATTACACAGTAGGAACAGGCCGGGGCGAGGCGAGGGTGGCGAGCGACGAGCAGCCTGCCGGGCAGCGCCGCGACCAAGGTTAGGGTCGGCAGAGACGACGTGAGGTCAAACTGGGGGAAAGTTGTATTATGAATGTATTATCAGAAGGGGTTCATGCCTCTCCCTCATTGCTATGCGCAGGCAAAGAAGGGAGACGGGGGAGTGAGGGAGAGGGGGGGTGGCAAGGGGTCGACTGTCGGGGTGTCATACCACACAGTGTGGGGAGGAGGGGGGGGGGAGAAATAGTGGACTGAAGTGGACTGGACATTTTATATACTCCTGTCTGATGCGCGTGTTCGGTTAATTTTTTTACCTTGCGTTCTTACGTAACTCCTTGCCAGCACGGCGTCGATATGAAAAATAAATTGTTATCATGTCATCTCCTTGAAATTTCCCCTAAATCGGGATTGGCGAGTGTCACCGCCCGCTGATGTCGTTTTCGCGTAGGCTACACATTAGTTTGGAGACTCGTTTTGGCATCCGCTCCCGACGTGCGAAACGTTGTTTGCTGCTGCGACACTCATTGATAGGTAAATGATACTCGTGATCTGTCCCCGTCCGCGCCAGCTGCGATATAGAGATGTATCGCAGCGCAGGCAGATCAGCGGGCGTCAGCGGGGGGATGGAGCAAAAGGGTGAGAATCGCGTCCATCAAGCCAGGCCGCCTCCCCCTCCCCGTCCGCCTCCCTGTCACAGCTGTGAGGGTTGACCCGGCGGCGCGGTAGCGAGCTGCCGTGGTGAACAGACGACGGAAAGCCTTTCGCCCGTGTCAAGGCTTTCTTTCACTCATTGGACTAGGCCTTAGTATTTTGATCTAAACGCATTCCTTACTTTTTGCCCTTTGCCCGCCCGTTTGATCGCGAGACGTCGTCGTCAGCGTGCTCTCCAGTAGCTTGCACTAAAAACCCAAGTGTACGAATGTCGAATGAAAATTCACACACCTGCAGGTGTGCGGCATAATTTTAACACAGCTGCAGACGCGTGAATGGCCATTCACACACTTGGATAGTGTCAATAGCAATTGCTAAAGGTTAACCTTGTTAAGTGTACAAACATCTATCCTTACCCCCTCAACCCACCCACAAGTTTATGAATATTTTTTCGCACACCTGTAGTTGGCCGTGTGAATTTTTTCACTCACCTGCAGGTGACAAGCGACGTTCGTACACTTTGAATTTCCAGTGTGTGGTGTGGTGGTCGACGTGTCTGCTGAGCGCGGCGGCGGTCGCGTCGCTGTGAATGGACGCATAGATTGCCATCATGGCCAATACCCAATCAATTAGTTGGACATGGAGAGGATGGGTGGGGGGAGGCGTCACGCAACAAAGCCTCTGCTCCTGCAGCGCGCGGACAGATGTGCCATTTGGATTATGTCATGTCCAGCGTATTATTTGTCCCCTTTTCTTCCTCCCGCCGCCGCTGCGACAGATTCCCCCGCGTCACGCTCGCCTCCCGCGCGCGCGCGCGTGTGTCGCCCGCGTCACGTTGGTCGCGTCGTGAAGTTGTTGTGCGGCAGCCGCGTGTATCAAGTGCGCAACGCCTTTCCAAAGCGTAATGTATTTTTACGCCCAGTAATTAATTAATTAATTACGTGTGAAGCAGGGCAAACCACTTATATTTTGACTGAAAATGTTGGGTGAGAAAACGTTTCCCCAACCGCAACTTGCAAATAAAAACTGCTGATTAGCAGGACCATCCCAGTTCCAATTTGACTCTTTCCCATGGACGGCCGCTCCCCTTTTGCTCCTCCTCTGCTGTGCGCCCCGTCACCGACCTCACCCCGCGACAGCCCTGCGCGATGACACAACAAGAACGCGCGAATGTTAATGGGAAGGAGCGGAAGCCCTTATCTCGTGTATCGATGGCTTCACCACAGCCATTGATAGGAACGGCGCTCAGACTCATCAGGGAGGGTCCGGTACGGGTGAACCGAACTGCGTCAGCTCTGTGTGTGTGTGTGTGTGTGTGTGTGTGTGTGAGCGCGCCCGCCCCTTCAGCTGCCGCCCTGCAGTCTGGCTTGGGGGCCCAACGCACGAGGTGTTATGGCCCCCACCCCGCCCCACCGCGCCACGCCCCACCACGCATGTCGGCGTCTGCAGGTCTACCGCCCGCTTGCAGTGAACATCCCCCCCCCCCTTTCGGCAAGGACAAAAAAAAAGTGAAAACGAAAACGAGTTCGGCATACAGAGCAGCAGCAGCGTGTCAAAGACGTCTGTGTCGTGCGAAAGTTTGTCGCCGGGTATGACGACGGAGATCTGCCACAGAGCCTGCCTTCCGACTTTCGGACAACCAGGTGAGACACCGCCTCTATAGAATAGTGGCCCTCCTTACCATAGAACGGTCGTGGAGGGGTCTTCCTAGAAGTACCTGCGCGACGGACGCGCTGTGCTGCTGAACCGCGGCTTGACGAACGAGTGGCAAAACAGCTAAATAAAACGGGTGAGAAAAGGCAAGGGTTTACACGGTAAAAACAGCTCCTTGATATCCAATGATCAAGACAGCGATTGAAGGACGGGGGTAGGAAAAAACCGGGAAAACACATGGGGCGTCCTTGAACCGGTGTCTTGGCCCTTGAACATCAAGGAACTGTTTTTACC